AGGCAGGACGGCGGCGAGACGAGGGTGTGGGTGACGCACGATGTATGGTCCAGGAGACAGCGACGGGTCCATTCGTTCCGTTCTGGGTTCTGCACTTGGCTCAGGGATGACAGTCGCAGCCGGTGTCGGTGGCAGTGCATGGTATGTCGCCGCCCGTTATCACGGATTTGGGGTCCGAGACGGTGGTTGCGCCACCACGTCTTCCTAGTCACTTTGCTCCGCAGGAGGTCCATCGTCCTTTGGATGCAGACGAGTTGGCGAGAGAGGCTGTCCGCGATGTGACTCGCTTGGACCGGCGGATCTTTGACCAGAGGCTACAGCATCCAGCATGGCAGGCGATCCCTCCACTTCCATGGGGCCCTGCATCGCCGGTGTGGTCTGGGTCTACCTCTACCAGAGCACGTACGGCGGGAGATGTTCCAGGGGTTTCAGGTGGCATCGTGGAGACGGCGCCACGTACACGAGACATGCCACCCCCTCCTCCTAGACCACCTGTAGGTGATCCGTCATCGTCGCCCACAGGCAGAGGCTCTCGATCTCTACACACGCCTGGGAGGTCTAGGATTCGGGACACTACAGCCGATGTGGGGGACATGAGTGACACAGCATTGTTCAGGAGGACAGACATAGATTTGGATTCCACCCGCCGTGTCACGGAGCACACTGCACGTCTACAGCCGGGTTTAGAACCCCGCGACGATAGGATGACCGCAGTGAGGGAGGTGGCAGCATCAGGTTGTGAGCCTCAACAAGGTCGCGGCAGAGGAGTGTCCGCCGATAGCTTGGAGCACGCTTTAAGAGCAGCGACGCGTGCCGTACTTGAGCAGACTCCACGCAAGCACGGAGTGCCTCCTCGTCCACGCCCCGTGCCCGCATAGGGAGGAGATGCACTTGGAGAGACTTCGGGGGCAGAGGGGTTGGGGATGCCTCGTGGATCGCGCCGTGAGCAGACGGTTGCAGAGGCTAGTGCGAGGGTTGTTGTGTTGAGGAAGGCAGGAGCCCCTGTCACCATCGAGGAGGATGATCCTGAGACATATGTGGCAGTGCGGGAGGAGGACGAGGACTATGAGGGCGAGGAGGAGGGAGAGGAGGAGAGCGAGAGAGGTTCCGATGGTGACTACGACGACGCCCAGCACGAGCCCCCACCTCCCCCATCGTCGCATGCAGCCAGACGGCGCGCTGCGCATACTTCTTCATCAGCACGAGGGAGGAGGAGTTCGACATCCGGCACGCGAGGGGGTACGAGGAGACAGAGCGGGAAGGGGAAGAAGCGTCGTTGACTGATGAGGCCAACACTCATTTTTCCCCTGCTCGCACTGCGGTTCGTCATGTTGTGCGGTCCTAGTTTTTTTGGTCGTCTCGTCTTGTCTTAGTGTTGTTAGGCTCTCAGTGGTTGTGTGCGTGCAGCGTGCTACAGATGTATTAGATGATGTTTCCTTTGTTTTCGGTGTGTATGATTTTGGTACCAGTATGGTGTTCGTAGAGTAGCGTTGGACCAGTAGGGTGTTCACAGAGTAGCTACGACACGACTTGTACACTACAGTTTCATTTGTTTTTTTTCGACATGTGGTACCACTGCCTTAGTAGTAGCCTGTAGGATACATTGCATATGTTGCATTTTTTCATTTCTGTTTTCAGTGACAGGTACTTTGCGTCGTTGAGGACTTTTAATGCACAGTACATTTTCCATGTACAGTTTCAGTTTTAATTGATGCTCGTTGTGGTCGGCGTGCGCGAGCTTTCGTGACCATTTTCATCTGGTGTGATTTTATATATTTCATTGTTGTTATCATTTCCAATCTCATTTCCTGCGTTTGTTTCTTGTACAATTCTACTTTAGTTTTTCGTCTGGAGAGTTGCTTGTGTGGGTTTTTTTTTTTTTTTTTTTT